AGAAAAGTCAGTGAAGGTTCAAGTGATGTGGAAATGTGCCACTGTTACACGGGACCACAAACAATTGAGGTCATACCTTTTTAAACATGTGTTATACCAGAGGGTATTTGAGTCATTACTGGGAATATCAGTTTTATAATAAGAGTAAGACTAGGAATGAATTCAGATCTCGATTCTTCCATTTTTTTAGTTGTGTTATCTTAGATGAGTTATTGAATGGTTTTTACTCTCAGTGTCCTCATCTGTAAAATGGGAATAATATTAGTACCTGTATTATCTTTACCTCATAGAGCTCTTATGAGGATTAAAAGATAAGACAGATAAGATATGGAAAGCACTTCGCAAGATAACTGACACAAATTAAGAAATTAACATAGCTGCTGTTATCAGTCAGGATTCTTTGGGTTGCAAGTGATTGAAACAAAAGGGAACTTATTGGCCTGAATAATTATGTGAAACAATGCCTTCTGGCCCAATCTTTCTGTCTATGATCTAAGCTGGAATTCCAAGGGTGGATAGTATCTGAATAAGAATTAATAGACACTAAGCTTTTAAATATGACACAGTTTCAAGCACTTTGCATGGGTTATCTCATTTAATCTTCACAACACCCAATGAGGTAGGTACTATAATCACCCCATTTTACAAATAAGGAAACTAGGGCACAGGGAGATTAATATCTAGAAAGTGGCAGGACTGGGAATTGAGCCCAGCTGTTCTACTGCAAAGCCTGTGTGCTTAACCATTACACAAGCTTCCTTTGAAAACATTAAAGGGTGAGTAGGTGAAGAAGATAAGTAGAGTTTCAAAAAAGAAAAAATAAAGTCTGAACATTTTGACTTCTGATGTTACTGAGTTCATTACAAAATTGTGGGTTAATTTATCTTTGCACCCACAGCATTTAACTAGAACGCACACAGAAAGCAACTAATCCATGTTTAACAAATGAATTAATTTGTAAGCAATCTCCTTTACCTTCTGCCTTCTCTAGCATTGATTACTTATTTTATCTTTTTCATTTGTAAACAACCCACCTCACCTGTAAGTATTAGCCAATAAGCTTATGCACATAGTTATTTCATTTTTTAAAAATTGAGAGAATAGTAAGCATCTTTATACAAAAATATCAGAATTTTCTAACATTGAGTGGCTCCCAGGAAAACAAAATTTTTCACCTTCTTTGGCGCCCTCTCGTGCTATGTGGTGGAAAGTAATCAAGAGCTCTAATGCATCCAGGAAACTGAATCTGGATTTATTTTCTACATTGTAGACACCCAGAACACACACACACACACACACACACACACACACACACACACACACACACCCTTACAGATTAAACTTTTGTTTTCCCTCTCTGCATGTTACTCTAATTCGTGCTTGTGTCAAATGTTAAATTGTCAAATGTTATGTCACCTGAGTTTCCCTAGTCCCACTAGGCTATAATTAACCTTATCAGTTTGAATTTCCTTCAGTGCCTATTCCTAGAGACTCACAAAACCTATAAAATGCATTTATGTGGTTTTTTGAAGTATATGTCATGTGTTATCTGGCAACACTGTTCTCATTGATTCTCTTTCACTATTTCTCTCTCTCTCTCTCTCTCTCTCTCTCTCTCTCTCTCTCTCTCTCCCCCACACATGCCAACGCCCTGAATTCCTTGAGAAGTTAAAGCCACAGGTTCTCTTGGGAAGAAGAAAGCATACCCACTTTGCTCTCACTTTTTCTTTACTTAAAGGGGCTCTCGAAGCAGTGTTGCTTGTTCTTCAATGTCTTGCAGAGCTTTTTGTTTGTTCACTAGTGAAATAGGCCTTTTATTGGGTTGTCGGAAAAGTCATGACGCATTTTTGCAATGAAAAACTGGAAAAATACGTCATTACTTTTCCGACAGCCCAACAGCTTTTCGAATCTCCCTGTTCACCATACGACTTTTATGTGGGACTATCAGGAAGGAACAGGGACTTAGAAAGGAAATGCAGATGACAGATCCCTCTTTGCCTTGGATCAGGTGTTGTGCCCCAGCAACTGTATAAACAGGCTCAGATATTTCAGATGCTTAGACTTAAGCTAGAAGCTGCATTATAGTTCCATGAAACTGAATAATTAGTAATAATATTAAAGTTATTAATAATAATGGCTGACTCATTTAGAGCTTAGTAGGTACTAAATACACTGCTGCGTGCTTTACATGCAGCATTTCATTTCATTTTCACAAGGCCCCTATGAAGTAAGTAATGTTATAATCCTCATTTTACAGATAAGGAAACTGAGGCTTACAGAGGTTGCATGTTTTGAGAGACACTACAGCTTTGAGAGAATCTGTTTGGTGTGGTTGTTTGAGCCAGAAGGCTGCAGTTCCAATGCTGGCTCTACCACTTTCTAACTGGGTGGCTTTTGGTGAGCTGCTTAACCTCTCTGTGCCTCAGTTTCCTTATCTATAATCATAATTCCTGCTTCATAAGGATATTACAGGTATTAAATGAGTTAATGCATACAAAGTGATTAATGGTACTTGGAATATATCAAGTGCTATATAAGTGCTTTTAAAAAAAAATTGGAGGCAAAGCCCAGGTTGCTTCAGGTTACTATATGGTCTTCCTAATGGAAAGACTATGTCTGTTCTCCTTATGGGTATCATTAAGAAATGGATCTTAATAACATGTTCTGCCATGGCGAATTTTTCCTTTGTGCAGCAGAATCATCTGAAGAGCTTTAAAAACCACTGATCCTGATTCTGTAGGCCTAGGGAAAGACTCAGGCATCTTTATTTTTCTAAAGCTTCAAGAGATGTCCATGTGTAGCCAGAATTGCAAGTCACTGCCATAGTACTTAGATGTTTACAACATTCTTTTCCATAATAAGATAATATTAATTCCATGTTTACTACATGCTGGGTACTGAGCGCCTTACTTTAGGTCATCTCATTTAACCCTCCAATAAAATTTCCATGATTTAGATAATTATCATTCATACTTTATAGATGGGAAAACCAAGGAACAGATAGTGTAAGGAACTTGCCCAAAATCACTTAGCTAGCTGGTGGCAGAGCCAGGATTTTAAACCAGGTGGTCCGATACCATGGCCTGTACAGTTAACTACAAGCCTATACTGCCTTCCCATGTGGTGTCTAATCTAAACTTTGTCATAAATCTGTGCAGTATGCTGGTTTTGCCATTGCCCCCAATTTATAGATGAGGAGACTAAAACTAAGGACAAAATGTACACAGCTAGTCAATGTCCTAGCTGGGGCTTATAAATGGGTCTTATAATTCGAAGTCTATGCTCTTCCCATAATGTTGCAGAGAACTTCAAATAACCAAATATGATAGCTATTTTATAAGGTCTTTTTTATGTGTTGCTTCCTCCTCTTTCCTGCAGTGACTACTTTGGTCATTGCCTTCATCCCATAGGTTACTCTGGCAGGAGCTTTAACCAAAAGCCCCCTTGTATCTTTATCTCTTCTCTGCTTCATCTTCATCCACTAAGTTAGAACTCATCAAGCAACCCTTTTGCTTAAAATCTGACTAACATTTGTCCTGTTTGCCATCTGTAGTGGGTTGAATAGTGGCCCCCAAAATGATAGGTATACCTCCTAACCCTGGAACTTGTGAATGTGACCTTGTTTGAATAAAAAGGATCTTTACAGATACAATTAAGCTAAGGATCTCCAGAAGAGATCATCCTGGATTATCTGGATGTGCCTTAAATCCAATGGCAAGTATTCTTATAAGAGATAGAAGAGAAGACACATATACACAGAGGAGAAGGCCATGTGATGACAGAGGCAGAGATTAGACTTTTGCAGCTGCAAGCCAAGGAATGCCTGGGGCCACCAGAAGCTGGAAGAAGCAAGGAAAAATTCTCCCCTGGAGCCTCCAGAGGGAACATGGCCCTGCTGACACCTTGATTTCAGACTTCTGGGGTCTACAACTGTGTGAGCGAAATCATTTCTGTTGTGGTAAGCGACCCAGTTTGTGGTAATTTGTTACAGCAGCGCTAGGACACTAGTACATCATCTTTTCACCTCTTCTTGACTTTCAGGGCTCATGACATTTGTGTCTTCCCTGGTCATTCGGCCCTATGTCTCAAATAAATCCTCTGTCCCATCTGCATGAGACCTCTAGGTTCTTTATGTACCTTCCCTCATGTTGCTTGTTTATTAGAAAGAAGACATGCTATCTCAACAGAATTCCCCCTCAGAAAGGAACTGTCTTTGAGGTGGGGAGATACCCAGAAGTAGATGAGCTCTGGAAGGCCCCGGGGGTGGTGTGGGCAGGGCACCCTTTGCTCATGAGTTCCTTGTCATGTTTTCCACTCCCCTGCCCCTTTTAACCCTTCCCTATGTTGTCTCTATTAAAGAGACCGCCTGAGGCTTACTACTTGCACAAGTCATGCCTCATCTTTTGGTATCATCTGTTAAGTAAGAATGTTTGACCTTGTAGTCTCCTCTAAGGTATAGAGAAATCCGTCCACGCAAAAAAATGTTCTTGAGCAACTACTAAGTGCTAAACACTGCCCCAAGAGCTGGGACTACAACCGGTTGAGATAGACATAGTGCCTTACCTCCCAGGTAGGGTCTGTCTGCCTGGGTTGATGAATACTGTGCTTTGAATCACCACCACGCCTAGAGGGGAGGGGCGAAGAGTGTGCTAATGTATAGGGATAGTGACACCCAAGAGAGGCAAGGAATAGGTTTGTTTTATTCTTGTTTGGGGTGGTTGGATTTGACATGGTGAATTCCAGATGAAGATTTCCAATACACAATTGAAATTGCAGGTTTTCGAAAGGGATCAGCCAAAGTCAAGTCTATTGGCTGAGGCTTTGGATATGGATGAGCTCAGCCCAAGCGATGAGGAAGAACCCCAAGGAGAGGGTCCTGGATGTCTGGGAGAGCCTTACCTTGCCGGGTGCTGCGCACGTGCTCTAGGGCAGGTGCAACCAGCGCCCAAGCTTCTCGTGAGACTCCTGCGTACTTCCCCAGGTCCCGCCCTGTGGGCGGGGCTAGGCGATGCCCCGCGAAGTCACCCGGAAGATTAACTCCCGTAGGCACGGGCTTGTCCGTCTTCGATGCCTGAGGCGTACCTGGGAGGGGCGCCCACCGAATGGGGTGAGAGGACGACGAACCCCTGGGAAGGAGGGATGCCGGGATGCCCAGGCCTGTGGTGCTGAGCGCTGCGGCGGTGGCGGCGCTGGTGGCCGCCCTGGTGGCTGCCTTGCTCCTGCTGCTGCTTGAGGACGCAGGACTGGGGGCTGGCTCCAGGTAACCCCTCTGTGTAGGGGACCGAGCTGGGTCCCCGCCTCCTCCTCCCGTTCCCCCAAACCCGCCTGCATCCTGCGGGCGGAGGAAGGAGGGGTCGGAACTAGGGCTACCGTGGGGGAACTAGGCCTTTTGGTGCCAGTAGTTTGTGTCCCCTTCCGAGGTGTGGGTGTCTCAGGTGCTGGGGATGTGCCAGGGAAACCTGCCTTGCAGGTGACTCAGCGCTTTCCCCGGGGCCCAGACTACGGAGAGTAACGATATCTTCCGGAACGAATAAACAATCCTTGTTACCCAGGGTAAGCCAGGCCATCCCTTAAACATCCTAAGATTAACACCTGTTGATGTGATTTCTGTAGCATGGCGGAGACAGAGGCGCTGCCGAAGCTTCGGGAAGACTTCCGGATGCAGAATAAATCCGTTTTTATTCTGGGCGCCAGCGGGGAAACCGGCAGAATGCTCCTAAAAGAAATCCTGGAACAGAGCCTATTTTCCAGAGTCACAGTCATTGGACGGAGGAAGCTGAACTTCGATGAGGAAGTTTATAAAAACGTGGTGGGTATTTGCTCTGGGACTCAAAAATGTACCCGCAATCATTCTGCGAGGTGAACGTATTTCCATGCTTGAAGGCTGAACCGTGCCCTGCCAGTGGGAGCAGCGAGAGGTGATTAGAAAGTGGCCAAGTTTGGAAGCTGGCGTCCTGGATTGTTGACCCAGGACCAAGCCCTCTCACTGTGCAGCCTTGGACAAAGTCCTCTCAGTCTTGGCACCTATAAGGCTGGGTGTAGGTTGTAATGGAGGCTGGGAAGACAGAGAACAACGTTGTTCAGGGCCATTCATGCTGGGTTCTAGAGAGAGCCCACTTTGCTTGTTTTGTTTCCCTGTCCAATCCACACTAATGTTAGTGAATCAGAAAATGCTTTGCTGAACAGGGAACCTCTGTGGCAGTGAAAGTGTTGTTCATTCACTTTCAAGAATTTGCCCTGTCTGACTTGCCAGGGCCGCAGCCTTGTGTCTGTAGGTGTAATATTCCCCTGACTGTCACTTACACATTCATGGTTAACCAAACGATACACAACTTCAGTCTGGTGCAAATCCCCTAAATATTTGAAGTCTGAGCTTTGTGGAGATTCCTTCCCCTGCATTTAAACTGAGTTTGTGAACTCAGTAAATTAAACTATAGTATAATCCTGAAACCCCATAATTATAGAACTTGGTCCCACAGGTTTCACAGGTGGAACATTCCAGATAACAAATGGTCTCGCAAATAAATGTTCGTGACTCCTGCAGGTCCTGTTTAGGTCATTTTGCATATGTCTTTGGTCCATCAGGACTTTCCTGTTTAAAATGGACATCTTTGCTCAGACTTAAGGAGTAACGTGGTCTTCAGAGTCTGGCTCCATGGGACGTGTCAGACACTTCTGGTGATTAGAAACAGAAACCGTGTCCTGCCTGTGCTTTGCTTGTTGATTTTTGGTGACACATCTTTTGCTCAGGCACTTTATGCAAACATCTTTTTCTTCAGCGTTGTGTACAGTGCTAGGAAAATTCTTTTGATAGAATTGATGGTAGGGAAGGAAAGCAATATTTTATTTCAACTCCTGCATGATGGGAACTCTCAGACTTTTTTAAGTTTCACAACAAACGAATGAGGTTAGATGGAGGTTCTTAAATTTCAGTGAGGCATGAGAATTACCAAGGATGCATCCTTTTATCAAGCACCCACTGACTGATTTTAATGCAGGTGCTTCATGGATTGGACTGAAGGAAAGATTATCATTCACATTTAACTGCTGAAAAACTGAGGTACATGATAAATAACTTGGATAAAATTACAGGCCTAGGAATTAGCAGGCCCAAGACTCAGACCCAGGTCTTTTAAATTCCAAACCCCATTCCCTGCCCCCATGTTATACCTTATTGGTGTCCCTCTTGGTAATATACAGATAGGTCTTTTATTTTTCCAGAGAGAAAATTATAATTGAACCTGACTTTAGGGATCTGGATCACCCCTAGTCCAATTATGTGTACTGTGGCCATATAAGTGCATTGTTGATTTTGAATTCAGATTAGTTGCTTTTTGGTGGGAGGAAATGAGCTTGCAAAATTTGATGTTAAGTGGGCAGACTCTTCAGTAACAGTAATGTTCTGTAATTTATTCTTTAAATCTAGGAGTATTTTGTTTCTTAAAAAATAAAATCAAGTTGTATACAGCTGTGTCTTTATTATCTAGAATCAAGAAGTGGTGGACTTTGAAAAGTTGGATGACTACGCTTCTGCCTTTCAAGGTCATGATGTTGGATTCTGTTGCCTGGGTACCACCAGAAAAAAAGCCGGGGCGGTAAGGAAGAACTATATATATCCCATTCTCTTTTCACTGGCCAGTAGTTTCAAAGATACCTTTCTTACTCTTTTTCTTTATATTTGCAGTGCTTAAATGTAAATAAGCTCTTATCATTTAAGATTTCATATGCTGCTCTACCCTTTGCTGTACTTTGAATAGTACCGATAAGTTCATCTTTCCTTCAAATTAATCCTTAAGTTCAGGCCTGCGTGCTGGAGACATCATACATTTTTACGTCGTTTTGCCTCTTGCAAATATTGCTGTCACTACATCCCCTGGCTAAGGTAAACCAACTGACTCATGCTGTTAGCAGTAAGCATTTTTTTCTTCCTTTTTCTTTATAAATGTCTCAAACTTAAAGCACTTGCTTTCACTTGACTGATTTGCTTCAACCTATATCCATGCCAAGCCTTAAACTTCTGGGATAGAACATCAAACAGAGGCACGATTCAGCTAGCCTTCAGTGATGACTCAGCCTCCAGCGATGATTCAACCCCATGGTGATTCAGCCCTCACTGACGCAGAACTGTGCTAACACACGTTTTATTTTGTTTGTAATGATGCTCTGAACTGCATCAACCCCTATTCAGAAGTCATAGTTTACTATATAGTTAGAAGTCATAGCTTACTATGTAGATCTTGGGCAAGGGTTAGTACATCTTATTTAATTTACACATTGACTATACTTATCCCTGTAGCAGAATTTACTTGCTGGAGCTAAATATGCAGGCTGTTAGATATGCAGGACCATTGATGCTGCCACGGGGGGCTTACCATCGGTTTAGAAACAGGCCTCTGCATCAGAATCATTAGGAGAGCACATGGTTAAGAACTATTGGTGTATACCAACCAAGGAGTTACGTTCAGATCTATTTTTCTGGGCCTCCTGGCAATCCAAAGAATAATTCTATTTATGCTTTCAGTCGGGATCTATTTCCAAATCTTCTGCAGTTCTACAATGTCCACTTTGGGACACACTTGGGTTTCTGAGCTCTGTGCTAACAAGTGTGCATTATAGAGAAGTTTGACTCTCCTAGGATTTGGCACATTATCTCTTATAGAAAGGGTCACATTCCTACTCAGCAGCTAGTTCAGTCTTTTCTGTCCAAGGGACAGTCACAAGTGGTATGCTCTCTGAAAGTGTTGAAAAAGTTTTGTTCTATCTGCTGTGCCAACCCGATTATGATGGTGACTCAGCAAAATAAAAACCACTGCAGTTGATTTCCATGACGTAAGGCAACTCTCAGAGAGAGCTCCAGGGAAAAGTCTAAATTGTGTTGTTGCATTCAAATTGTGTAATGTAATTTTAATCAGAGGCATTGGGTGTCTTTCCTATCTGGAATACTTTTTTAGATGGAGTAGGTTCCCCACCCCTCAGGATACTCAATACCTTTTGTTCTCCAAAATCAGTTTGACAAGATAAACATAATTAATGAGTAAATGAGAGAAAAGACTAGAAAGCCAAATACAGTCTCAGAAATGAGTCAGGGTTTAGATGGTTTAAGATGATAGTGACAGCAAGTAAGCTGACATTTCCTACAGAAAGTTTTTTTGTTTTTTTTTTAATTTGAAACTCATTTAGATTGGATGTAATATAAGTTTGGAGGTTGTGATAACTTTAGGCAATTTAAAAGAGGTGAGAATTCACAAGTGCCTAGGTAATAATAGTGGTTTGATGGGAGGTTGTGGATTTCCAAGCTCATCCCACCGGGTGTTCTGGGTCAGCAGCTCACTTAGTAGAAAAAGAGTTTATTAGATGGATATTGTAAAGCTGGTGGCAAGCCTAGGGTCATTGTGTAGCCGTTGTGTAACTGGAACACCCCACATTTTACCTTAGCAATCTGAGTGTCCAGTTGAAAAACTTCAAAAAATCCAGGATTTCTGTCTTAGTGTCGAAGCTCTGAGTAGCCAGTTTATTTCCCTATGATCTTCAGTGTGTTAATTTGCAAGGGCTGTTATAAGGAAGTACCATAACTCTAGTGGCTTAAACAATAGAAATTTACCGTCTCACAGCTCTGGAAGCTAGAAGTCTGAGAGGTCAAGGTGTTCTCGGGATTGGTTCCTTCTGAAGGCTATGAGGGAACTTTCCAGACTATTCTTCTTGACTTGTCGATGGCTGCTTTCTCCCTGTGTCTCTTCACGTAGCGTTTTTCCTGTGTGTGTGGCCACGTCCAAATTTCTCCTTTTTATAACAACACTAGTCAAAGTAGATTAAGAACCACTCTATGATGTATGACCTCATCTTAACTAATTATAGCTGCAGTGACCCTATTTTCAAATAAAGTCACATTCTGAGGTTAGGACGGACTTCAATATATGAATTTTGGGGAAAACAAAGAAACCCATAAAATTCAGTCTGCCCAGATTTCTGTTACAATTGGTAACTGGGATAGGTCTGTTAGCTTTCTTCAGCTGTTTGGAAAACCATTTCCTTTAGCAGTAGCTGGTTAGATACTAATCTTCCTTTTCACATTCACAAGCTATAGTTATCTAATCAATGCAGTGGCTTCCTGACTTGGTCCTAATCCAGATCTAGTGGATCAGAATCTCTAAGGTTGGAAGCTTGGAAATTTGGGAGATTCTGAGGCAGCCAACTCACCTCTTCTTGTTGGACCTGCTTTCAGAAGGCATTGGGATGTATTAGTCCTCTTCACGTGCTGATTTTCCAGGTACTGTCATCCCAAGTGGCCTTCACCTTGTTTTAGTGAGTTACTTGTGTGGTAGTGAAGGTTGAAATACCCTTTGAAAACCAGATGTACATTGGCCTTGAGTGAAGAGTAAACACTCACAGATCCCACTGAGAAGAGTACTTTGACCCTCACTTGTATTAAGAGAAGGACTTGGTTAGGTAGTTTGAGGTGGTGTAAGAGGTGGGTTCACCTCTTTATTTGTCTCCTCACCTAGTAGGCATAGGATCCAGCCAGTCTAGGTTATTGGATTGTATGGAATAGACTATTCCATTAATGTCATTAATGCAGCTATTGTAACATTTATTAGGCATCATCAGAGTCTCATGGCTTCTGATTCTAATGTTGCACTCTTAGAATCTAGGGGCTTATAAACTACTGACTATGAGCCATATACAGTCCTCCTGTTTTTATATAGCCTGTGAGCTAAGAATGTTTTTATACTTTTAAATGTTTAAAAAATTCCAAAGAGGAATAGTATGTCATGACGTGAAAATATAAGGAATTTCAAAATTCAGTATCCATAAAGTTTTACTGGAACATAGCTATTCCCATTACTTTCTGTATTACCCGTGGCTGCTTTTGTGCTCTGATGTCAGAGCTCTGTAATTCAAACAGAGGTCTATAGATTTGAAAATATTTGCTGTCTCATCCTTTGCAGGAAAAGTTTGCTGACCCCTGTTGTAATCTTTACTGTTTTATTTGATGTCTGGTTAGGGGGGGGATCTTGTGAAGTGACGAGGTCGTAGATGTTTTGAGGGACTCAGATCATAAGCTCTGTTTGGATAGCAGGTAGCTGTGGGACCTTGGGTATGCGGGTTAGAGCCTGTGGTCCACTGCCTCCTTATCTGTACTGAGAGGTAGGGATCACTGAGGCCCCTGTGGCCTGCAGAATTCTTTGATTTTCTTGACACAGAGAAAAGAACGCCCCAAAGGAAAAATTTTTTGAGAATGCAGAGATTGATTCAGGCATCCTCAATATCGGTTTGATTTTATTTTTCTATCTAGAGCGATTCCTCTAATCAAGATCTTGGTTCCACCACTGTACATCAAATACAAAGATGCCCTCCAGGACACAAACAAATGGGGTGTCAGATTACACTATTTGTTGTTCGTCTGCATCTCTGTTTTCTAGTCTAATTTATAACGTTGGAGTGAAGGAGAAAGAATCTGAAGCAGAAATATGGCTAAATGGGACCCTTTACAGAATGATGGATTCCCCCCTTCTTGGAAAAGGATTCCCCTGACCTTGAGCCATTCCAGCATGCTTACATGTCACATCCGTCAGTGCTGAGTACTTGTTAGGATGAGCTGCTCTTAAGCCAAAGTTTTCCCAGTTCTCAGGCATGGGTAAAGAAGATTAGAAGAAATACTTAGTAGCTTTGGATTTTAATAAGACTTGACATAAAGAGTAATTGAAGAATTCTCTCCCTAGGTGTTTGTAGAGCCTATGAGGATATCTTTCCTTTTGTGTTTATTCTTTCAAGTGGGTGCTGGGAAAGGAAATTTATAATGGGAACTTATTTAATCAATTCCTTTTCTACAAGAAACTCTGATTCCTAGCTTAGAGTGGGACACACCAACTGCGAAATCATAAAGACACAATAACATAACGAACTTATTGCTCTTAGAAGAGAGCCATACGGTTTGGGAAAGTAAATACGGGTTTCTTGAAAATTGTGTTTCTAGGAAAAGGAGTAGCTTGTTTTTCTATTGTTTCCCCCCCACTTTGTTTGAGCTGTTAGAGAACAAGAAAAGGTGTTAATAGTAAGATTTTAAAGATAGCTCCCTTCTGTCTATAAATGGAATCTTCCTCACTCCAAAGAAAATTGGTATGTGTGTATGTGTTGACATCTTGGAGTCAGGATCCACATTTAGCTTTGGTTTCTATGTCCTTGAAAGCCATTGACCCCTTTGCTTTTGAGTTTCATTCACCAGCTAAAAGGCCATGCATCAGGGTGGGGGAAGTGAAATTCAAAATTTGTGGGCTTAGAAAAATGTGTATTTATAATCAGCTTGAGGGCTCAGAGGATTTGTGAAATTGGTGTGGATTAACAGCTATTGATTGCTAATAAAACAATATTTAGCTTTGTCCAGAGAACAGCGATGGAGAAAGGTATGGGCACCTTGTCAACAGAACCTATTGAGCAGGGATGATGGGTTAAGCGTGGGGGTCTCTGCAGCAGCGTGGGTGCTCCTTCTTCAAGGAGCGGTTGTCAGTTGTTAGCGAGGCGAGTGAAAGGAAGGACGCCAGAGTCTGATGGCTGGGGTGGTATTGATGTGCCTTAGATGACTAATGAGATTGAAAAAGTCCCATGGTATTTATGTCACTTTAATTTTCATCAAACAATTGGAGCCGACAGCACTCTATTAAGGAGAAGCTGATCCAGAACTAAAGCCAGATAAATTAGGGTCTCAGTTTAATCAAATTATCCTTTTACTGGCCCTGGATTAAGTGAGAGAGACAGCGTCCATCTAGAGACTTGTGATTGGCTGAAACTTTCCCTTATTTTTAAAGAAGCTGATGAAAGAAAATCCATTTTAACAGAGACAACTACAAGGCAACTTCCAAGAAATAGTGGTAAAACCAGAGCAACAACAAAAATGAATTTATATTCACTAGTAAACTATGTAATTTTATTATTGATAATGAACCTGTTATTAAAATCAGAGTTCTGGTGAATTGGAGTGAGGGGAAGAAATAGATGTGGAAGAAAAATGGAGTGTTTTAGAATTTTTCTCTGTAGTTTTAGATTGTTTTCCTTGGCACACTTTCAGCACATGTGAAATCTCATTTCGGAGAATGGCCCTGAGGAGAAACACATCCCTTTCTTGGGATGTGCTGAGAATTAAAATTGGTTTGCTTTACACTGATTTAAAAAAAGCAACAGCAGACGTCGGAATCAGTGTGGAGGACAGGTTGGTGAGTCAGTTGTTAGGATAGAATGTCAAAGTATACAACACAAAAGGGTATGTATGGTGTTGATTCATTCGTTAAGAGTTGAGTTTATATTCCCTAAAGTAAGGCAGAAAAATCACACTGCCCTGCAGGTAGTGGATATAATTGTACTGTGAGCGATGAGAAAGGAAGACAAGAGAGGCTTGGGAGGGCGGGGTGGGTAATAGTAATGTTCTATTTCTTGATTTTGGAGATGGTTGCTAAGGATGTTCAGTTTATGAAAATTCATTCAGTTCTATATTTACAATCTGTTTACTTTTCTTGTATGATCTACTTCAGTACAAAGTTAAAACATTTGCTTAGGGCTATTGTTATACAATTGAATTCCATATTCGTTTTCTATAGCTGCTGAAACAAATTGCCTTAACTTTAATGGCTTCAAACACCATAAATTTATGATCTTACAGTTCTGTAAGTTAGAAGTCCAACAGGGACTTTGCTGAGATGAAACCAAGGTGGTGACAGAGCTGCATTCCCTTCTGGAGGCTCTGCGGGAGACCCTGTTTCTTTATCTTTTCCAGCTTCTCAAGGCCACTTGCATTCCTTGGTTCGTGGTCCCCTTTCTCTATCTTTAAGACTAGCAGTGGGGGGATCAAGTGCTTCTCACATTGCATAACTCTAACCTTTTCTTCTGCTTCTCTTTTATATTTAAGGACTCTCGTGATCATACTGGCCCCAGGTGAATAATGCAGAATAATCTTATTTTTAGTTCAGCTGATTAGTAACCTTAATTCCACCTGCAGCATTAATGCCCCTTTGCCTTGTAACTTAACATATTCGCCAGTACGGTGATTAGGATGTGGATGGACACCTTGGAGGGGCCATTGTTCTGCCTACCACAATTATAAATTAGTCATTTTCATTAGCTCGGGATAGTATGGGATAAGACTGAACATGGGTACAGCAAAGAGCACTGCTCAGAGTCAAGAATTTGCACTCCACTCTTAGCTCTCTCTATCACTTATTAGCTGGCAGTTCACCAGACCACTGGAACTTGTTTTCACATCTCCATAATGAATGGGTTGGACATGATGTTTCCTGAGGTACCTTCTAAAATCTTAGGAAAGATATGCATCTCCATACAAAGTAAAATATTTAGGGTCAATAACTACCATAGGGCAAATTTTTAGCAGAAAAATCATTGGGGCAGTAATCAATCTTCAGATTTGGAATCCTCATTATATAAAACCTCATTTATATAATTGTAGGTACCTAGGAAGTTCAGCTTTGGTAGACTTTAGACTTCTTTTCAGCTGCCTTGAGTTTAAGGATGCCAGAATTTGTGGTGGTCCCAAGTGTTACTACATAGAATACCCTTTTCTGGGAACAGGCGCTTGTCCTTCAGTGAGGCCTTGGAAATGAGCCTATATTCTATTGTTTGTACCATCCTCTACTCTCCTCCTTTCATTGCCACTTAGTTGGTTTTTGTTTTTTATTTAAGATTTTATTGGGGAATTGGGGGAGGGGAACAGCATTGGGGAATCAGGGAAAAGGAACAGACAAGTTGCTGTCCTTTTGTTCTTCAGTCTAGTTGTGGAGGACGTTGCTTCACTGGCCCATGTTGGTATTATCATTGCGCTCTTCCCGGGTGAGGCAGTCACTCGCCAGCCATTGGACAGCCAGCTGCTCACAGTGGCTCACGGCAGCTCAGGCCGGAAGCTGGCCATTCACACTGGCTGCCAGCAACTCACGGTAGCTCACAGCAGCCCTACTGCAGCCTCACTGCAGCCTATGCCGTTGCCGGCCTGGCAGCCCAGCTCCAGGTCAAGCAGTTGTTCAGCATCTTAGCTGTAGAGGGTGCAGCGTCACTCGCCCTTGTGGGATCCAAACTGCGGCCCTGCTGCTCAGAGCCGCCACTCTGAAGCCATCTCTTAATGCGCCACACAGCCAGCCTGTTGTTGTTTCTTTTCTAATTGGATTTGCCTTTTCTCTGCTTTTATTGGACTTTTATTCATACATTCAAATATTTTTGGAGTACCTACCATGTGCTGGACATGTACTGAGGCTGTGATGTTATTTAAGAAGACCCAGGCACTACCCTCACTGGACTGAGTCTAGACTGAGGTCCCCAAACATTTTCAACTATATACCTGTCAGTAAAAAAATTTGAGGATGCAGTCTTTACTAATATGTAAAGGATGTCGAAAACATACACAAATTTGGAAATTAAATAGGCTTTGTTCTCATAGTGCCTGGGTAGTGTTCTCAGCCCTGCTTTGAGACCTTACCATGCTAGAGTTGGCACAGAAGAAAATAGAGAAAACAGAGAGGGCTGTAAGGTTGTCAAGTTATTAAAAGACAAAGCAATGTGTGACTAAAAGCAGTTTCTCAGCCTGATCTTATTGTTCCTTTTGTTGCTTGACAGTTTGTTTCATGTCTGAGTTTCAATGTCATTGTCCTTGTTTGTTTTAAAATTTTTATTTACTGTTTTTAAACTAAAAAACAAAAAAAACCCCCAAAAAACAATTCACCCATTGTTGTTGATTTTCTGTTGCGGTCTGGCCTTGCTGATAAAACGTGTGTCCTGAGGATCATACTTGGAGCCTTTCCCAGGGTCTAAGCCTGACATTCATGTATTGCTTGGATGCATTTTATTTAGACCCATTTCCCCCCAGGCTTCTAGCCTGCCACCCAAGCTGAGTAGTAATATTTAAGATGAGCTCATAGCTTTTCGGAAATAATTCACCTCTTTTTCCCCTCAGGAGGGATTTGTTCGTGTTGATCGAGATTATGTCCTGAAATCTGCAGAACTGGCAAAAGCTGGAGGGTGCAAGCATTTCAACTTGCTGTCCTCTAAAGGAGCTGATAAGTCGAGCAATTTTTTATATCTGCAAGTTAAGGTATGTGCAGGTTTCTATCTTGTGTATACTTTAGAGAACCCTGGCTAATTGGCAGTACTAAATAATATAAAATGCTGAATGATGCAAGGATGCATTAAATGCATTATACTATACATTTTTATAGCTACATGACCGTTTCACTGGGATATATTTAGAAAACAGGAATAATTTGAAAGAGAATTTCTAATATTGTTCCCCGTGTTGATTATTCAGTAATCATGAGATGAGATATGGTGGCTCTGATCTTGAATATCAGCATGGAATCTTTACATTAAATGAGACTTTGAGGCAGTGATTCTTAAACATGTCCACAATATATAATATTTTATTATTGGGTACAGTTTTGCCCTCAAGGAATTTATAATGTGCTTGTTTAAGTTTGGTAATTTGCTAGAAGGTCTCACAGGACTTGGAATATAGTTATACCCACAGCTATGATTTATTACAATGAAAAGCTATAAAGCAAAGTTAGTAAAGGGAAGAAGTGCGTGGAACCAAGTCTGGAGGAAACTAGGCACAAGCTTCTAAAAGTCCTCCCTGAGAGTTTCACGTACTTCATTTCTCCAGTAATAAATATTGTCTACCAGAGAAATTCGTCTGAGCTCAGGAGTCCAAGGTTTTTTGTGGGGGTCAGTCATTTAGGCACCTCCAGAGTAGAAAAAGAATTACAGACTTCTAGAAGGAAAGCAAGTGCTCGGCATAAACCACAGTGTTTGTACAAATAGTTTAGGTACAGTAAATTGCCCTTATCAGTTCAGTAATGAGGAGAGCTCCCCTGAAATCCAAGTTTCCAAGCCACAGGCCAGCCTTGCAAGCAGAACTTTCTAAGGACAGCTGTCTCAGCCTGCTATGTTAACTCTTATGCACACTGCTAATGGAGACAAAACACATCTCTGTAAAAAGCTAAGAAACCTGTCCATGTACAAACTTATATATGAATGTTCATAGAGGTATTATTCATAATAGCCAGAGTGGAAACAACCCCAAATCCATCAGCTGATGAATGTATAAATAAAATGTGGTATATACATACAAAACATATCATTCAACTATAAAAAGGAAGGATACATGCTACAATATGGGGGAACCTTGAAAACATTATGCTAAATGAGCGAGGCCAGTCACAAGAGGCGACAATGTATGTGATTCCATTTATAGGAAGTGGCCAGAATAGGCAAATCTAGAGAGACAGAAAGATTAGTGGTTGGCTAGGACTTGGAGCGAGGGGACAAGAGTGAGTGCTTATCGGTATTGGGTTTCTTTTTGGGTGATGAAATAGTCTACACTTAGATTATGGTAAGGTAGCACAACTCTGTGAATAAAGTAAAAAACATTAATTAAAAAAATTAAAAAAAAATCTACCTAAGATTAAATGACGGGACTGGTTAAGTGTCAAATGAATGGTATGAACAAGTGGCAGAGGAGAACATGATGCTTAATTCAAAGGCCCTTAGATGTACCTGTGACCTGAGATCCTTTGACATTTCTGTCTATAAAGATGCCTGGCATGAAAACTCATGGTTTTAACAAATTTAAAGCATCATCTAGATGTAATCTCACTGTCTCTTAAGATTTGGTGGGGTTTGTTAGGAAATGAGTAATACTGTGGGTCTGGCTTCTGACCCCCTGGAACTGCCTGGAAACCAAAAAAGGTTAATGTCTGCCAGCCTAGAACACTAATTCTGGACTAGTGGGAGGTTATTCTTTTATGGTTGAACTCTTGTCATTTACACTCTCTGGATCTGTTTTAATATCGGTCAAATGAGATGCTAGGTGACTGTGCAGACATTCACTCATTCAGTATATCTTTTTTTTAACTCCACTACATATCAGGATTAAATGATTTATTTCTTGACTTCCCAGACTCTTTGGCATCTAAAAACCCAGAGAAGGATATTTGTAAGTACAGGTGACCCTTGAACAACGTGAGGGTTGGGGGTGCTGACCTTCCTGCGCAATCGGAAATGTGTGTATAACTACGCCTGGCCCTCCACATATGTGGATTCCCAGACTTAGAGGGACCCTTGCAAAATGCGGGTTTGAATTGCGTGGGTCAATTGAAAAAACATGTATAAGTGGACCTGTGCTTTTCAAACACATGTTGTTCAAGGGTTGGTTGTATTGAGATTCTCAGGAGCAGATTATCTCCAGAGCCCCAAGTTATTTTCTTTTAAGCATTACAGTAAATTTTTCTTGATTAAATACTAATAGTGTGTTGTTGTTGTTGTTTTTAACAGGGAGAAGTGGAAGATAAGGTGGAAGAATTAAAATTTGACCGTTACTCCATATTTAGGCCTGGGTGAGTATTCACACTGCCTAAGAGGACACCACTGTTGGTTATTCCCTAGAAGGTAGTTTTTCATTTGGAGAGGCCTGCAGCTAAGATACCTAAGATATGAAAGAAGCTGTCTGGAAGTGGCTTGTTCTCTGAAGAACCCACCTTTTGGCTTAGAAGGAAGGGGTAGACAATTGGTGGTGCCAGGTTCAGAATAGTGTGAAATTTCCTGGGTAGCTTTTGCTGAATTTTTTATAAAAATCCTCTTCATGAATCAAATAAAACCTTTCCCCATTATATTAGTCTGTTCAGGCTGCTATAACAGAATAACACCACAGACTGGGTGGCTTAAACAAAAGAAATTTATTTTCTCACAATTCTGGAGACTAGAAGCGCAAGATCAGGGTTAGTGTCTAGTGAGGCCTCTCTTCCTGGCTGGCAGATAGCCTCATCTCTCTGTGTCTTCACGTGGTCTTTCCTGTGTGTGTGTGTGGAAACAGAGATCGCTCTCGCTTCCTCTTCTGTAAGGACACCAGTCATATCAGATTAGGATCTGATGACCTCATTTAACCTTAATTACCTTCCTAAAGGTACAGTCTTCATATACAGTCACTGGAGGTTGGGGCTTCAACATGAATTTCGGGGAGACACAATTCAGTCCATCATACCCTCTATGGTCTGAATGCAATTTACCATCTCTTCCTCTGCTTTTTTTTTTCCTCTTTAGAGTTCTGTTATGTGATAGGCAAGAATCTCGCCCAGGTGAATGGTTCGTTAGGAAATTCTTTGGCTCCTTACCACAATCTTGGGCCAGTGGGCATTCTGTGCCAGTGGTGACCGTGGTTAAAGCTATGTTGAACAACGCAGTGAGACCAAGTGACAAGAAGAAGGAACTGCTGGAAAACAAGGCCATCCATGACCTGGGGAATGCTGATGGCTCTCTCAAGCCATGATCACACCTGAGAAATCCTTTTTTGGTCAAACTCAATACCCACCACCTAATTGGTAATTTCAGGGAGAGAAAAAAGTCAGTGTGCTTTAACTGTGGCTTCACTGTTTTCAGCCAGTCAGATCCCAAAAATGATTGTACTCTGCATCAGTAGTTCAGAGCCTGGTTGTACATATATATACAGGTAACTCTTGAAAAACACAGGTTTAAACTGCACAGTTTCACTTATACATTCATTTTTTTTTCCGATAAATATATAAATGTATTTTCTAGTCCCTGTGATTTTCTTATTGTCTTTTCTCTAGCTTACTTTAAGAATACAGTGTATAATACATATGTGCAAAATATGTGTTAATCTGTTTATGGTATAAGGCTTCTGGTCAACAGTAAGTTATCAGTACAGTCGGCCCTCTGCATCTGCGGATTCCCAATCTCAGATCAAAATACTGTTTTTGATCTGTGGTTGGTTGAATCCGTGTATGTGAAACCTATAGATATGAAGGGCAGACTGTAGTTAAGTTTTTGGGAAGTCAAAAGTTATATGCGGATCTTTGACTGCACTGAGGTGGCACCTCTTACTTACATGTTGTTCTAAGGTCAATTGTACATCACCCAGGGAGCTTTTCAAAAACAGCTTCATAGGCCCTGCCTCAAACCTTCTGAATCCAGAATTTTGGGGTACGGGCACAGGAATCTATTGATTTGTTTAAGCTTTCCCTGGTAAAAATGATGCCACTATTGGGAAGGCCAGCTTTGAATGCTTGTTTGCAGAGGAACAGCAGCAGTGCAAACCTTCTGTATCATGTAAGAGTTCTGTTCTAAAATTGTTGACATTCATGTCTCCAGGTTACCCAATGCTGACTGCATATAATTGTGCCTTACTACTTCTTTAGAATATCTAATAAAAGTTGTTATATAACTGAGCTTGTATAATTCATGGGAGAATTAAATAGAGAAAAAAAATAAATGGACACGTCCTGGGTATCTCTTAGATTGTTAGAAAATACCCAAGTATCAGTGATAATATGCAGTATTTTGGCCAATGGGATGACATAATAGCAGCTAATATTGATCAAGTGCTTGCTAAGTGCCAGCTTTTACACATGCTATCTGTCCTTTAACCCTTCAAACAATCCTTATCATCCTCATAGGTGGCACTATTGTTATCGAACAAGTTTGCTGCCCGCTGCGCTTAAAAGTGAATACTGCGGCACTGGCTTTTGAGAAAAGAAACAAGCTTTATTTGTGTGTCCGCTGGCAAGAAGACAGGAGGCAAGGCTCAAATCTGTCTTTCTCATCAAGGAGTTGGGGCAGGGTTTTAGTGGGCAGCAGTTAAGGGTTCACAAGTGTTACCTGTGAGTTTCACAAGTATTACTCCTAAATGGTGTATCCAAGGTTTAAACTGTGGGTCCGGGAAACAAGATAGGCCAGATTCAGCGGTTACACTATCATCCCCATATCTTAGATGGTGGAAACTGAGCCTCACTGCAGTTAAGTGCCTTGCCCAAGAGGCCAAAGCTGAAGACCTGAAGCTAGGAAATGACAGGACCAGGATTCTAACCCAAGTCCTGACCCCATAGCTTGTATTTTAACCACTCAGCAAGAGCATCCAGTGTCTGTATAATTCCAGGAAGTTCCAGTTCATTTTTGCTGGATCAGTACATGCTATGGATGAATAAAATAAAAATACTGGGGTTTCTTCATTGGTTTAGGATCCCTATAATGATTAACCACAAAATGTTCAGATAGCCAGTAAAAGTGCTGCACTTTAAAAACTATGGAAAAGGAAATGAAGATGCAGAAGGAAGGTCAAAGTCAAGAGGAGTACACAGTGCTAATTGCCACCATGGAACAAAGGATGGTGGTGAAACTTAACTTTTGTGCTAGGGGAAGCAAAGTGATTTGAGTGATTCAGTCAATTTTTATGGGGTCTACAGTATGCCGAGTTATTCAAAGCGTCAGTGGACACTGGAGGATGAAGGCCAGTGGGCTTCAGAAAGGAAGTGGAAGATCTTCCTCCTGTCAGGTGGGGTTCCTTTGGGGCTTGACTCTGAAGAGCCTATGTGTTTGGGTGATAACAAGCATGGGCTCCAAGATGTGAGGCCTGAAGTAAAGGGACCCCAGGAGGACATCCTGGGGCCTGTGGCCTCTAAAAGCAGCTAAAGCCAGTGGCCAGTTTTAAGTTATTTTCTGTATATTATTTCCTTACCCACAGACCTGTCCAGTCTTGTTCAACATTTTATTCTGGTCTCACTAGAAAGTGGGATGATGGGGGAGGGAGGGTCTGTGTTTATCTGTAGAGCAGAGAAAAAAGCTACTTCCTCCCAAGCCCAGCATCGTGGTGAGACATAAACTTCAAGGGACAAGATCACCCCTCTAAATTGGGTGCTACTTTTTTTTTACTGTTAACATTGAATGACTGGGTTAATAAGGGGTTTAGCAGGTTTCCCTTAAAACGTTACACTGACAGGGAGAAGATGGGCTTAGCTGGAGAGCACTTATGTGGGGAGGGTGAAGGAAAAAGTTGGATGGGCCCAGAGAACAAAAGGCCTTGAATTAATTACTTCATTCAGCTTATTAAATGCCTCCTCGGTGCCACTGGACACATAGGCAGTGGGACTATGTCAGTGAACAAGAAGGCTAACCAAATGGAGCCAGCAGATTTCTGGCCATAACCTACAATGTTAAGGAGGCTTCAAAACTAATAGTTGATGGATTCTGCTCTCTCCAAGTTTACCGTTAAGGGAGAGGAATACAATGAGAAAAGTTTGGTAATAATACAAAGCATCATTTTTTCCCTCAGCAAATTTATTGATTACCTAGTCCAAAGTTTAGGCCATGTATTATGTGCCAGAGAAATGAAAGTAAAGAGACATGTTCCTAACCCTCATGGCACAGTGTTCTAGGTAAGACAAAAAAGTAAATAAATAGGGCTGGCCGAGTGGTGCGTTGGTTAAGCATTGGCTTGGGACCCCAGCTCTGAGCAGCAGGACCCCAGTTCGGATCCCACATGAGAGCCAGTGACGCTGCGCCCTCTACAGCTAAGATGGTGAACAACAGCTCGACCTGGAGCTGGGCTGCTGTGAGTCGCCAGCAAAGGCATAGGCTGCAGTGAGGCTGGTCAGGCAGCTGGTGTGAGCTGCCATGAGCCGCTGTGAGCGTCCATCCAGAGGCCGGCGAGCGACTGCCTCACCCAGGAAGAGCGCAATGATAATACCAACATGGGCCAGTGAAGCGACATCCTCCACAACTAGACTGAAGAACAAAAGGACAGCAACTTGTCTGTTCCCCTTCCCCAATTCCCCCAATGAAATCTTAAAATAAATAAATAAAAAATTAAAAATAAGCAAATGGTAGATGCTAAGAAAGAAACTAATGGTGCTGCTGGAATGACAGTGGAACGTACTTTCAAAATGTTGGTTTGAGGAACTTTCTGGCTGGGACAAAAAGTACTTATCCATTTGTAGAGCATTCTTAGCAAAGGCCTTGAGGTGGGAAAAGGTTGAGTCCAAATAAAATACTGGAGGGTGGGGCCCAGGATGAAGGGTTTCGCTGAGATGGAACACCGGGCAGGATTATGTACCCAGTAGGCCACGGTAGTCAATTTAACTGGATAAACGTGTGCCAAGAGCAGTGCTAACCTCTAGGATTCGAGTTTGGGAAGTTACCTACCTCAATTACTGCTGCCACTGCTACCGAACAAAGCATTCTATGGTTTGGATAGATAATAGGAAGGGGGAAAAGACATGAGACGTGGGAACTTTTGAGTTCTTCACACACAGCAGCCAGACTGTTACTTTTAAACACATCTGATGGTAAACTCCCTGGCTTAACGAAACAGGTCAATTGCTTCCCGTTGTTGAAGATAAAGTTAACACTTATGTCTGAACACTTTACCTGTATTAACTCGTTTTATCCTACAATTGCCCTATGGTTAGTGCAGTCATTATCCCCTTTCTGTTGGGGAGGAACTGGGAGGCAGAGAGAGGTCAGGTAATTTGCTCAAGATCACAGTTAGAAAGTGACAGAAGTAGGATTCAAACCAACTACGTTGGCTTTAGACATCATTCTCTCACTTAACTACTGTACTTTAAAGGCTAAAATCCTTAAAACAGCCCGCAAGGCTTTGGCCCCAAGTGGTTTCTAGTCCACCCACACTGGCTCCTGCAGTTTCCTCCCCACAGCTTCACCCCACTGGGATCAGGGAGCCCAGGAACCAGAGTCCCAGGCTCTTGCCTGCGTGCGGCCTCCGCCGCCACCAGAGGGCGCCGCTGGCCGTCTCCCTCCCACTAACCGCTCATCCGGTGAATGAGGGACCCACAGAAGGCGTGATGCCGACGGGAAAACCGACTGCAGATGCCGTCTCCGCCTCTGGGCTCAGGGCCGCGGGCGAGGACTTCCCGCTATCTAGCCCGACACGGCCCCAAGAAGAAACAAAAGTCACGTTAAAGCCTGCGAGGCCCAGCCCTCGGTTCAACGCTTACGCGGCGCGCAATGCGTCAACCCTGCGGCAGGAGGAGGCCGGGCCCGGGCTCTCGCCCCGCCCACCCCAGCTCACGTGACCAACAGCGCGCTCTCGAGGCCGGAAGCGCTCGTCAGTCAGCGCGCGCGTTCTCGCGTTCCTACGCGTCCGCGAAGTTCCCCAAACCTCGGCCCTGTCGCGCGCCCGGCTCGCGCTCGTTCCCGTGGTCCCTGGGCCCCAAGAGTTCGGCGGCGTCTGCGCGCGCGCTCGCTGCTTAGCCTGGTCCCCGCCCCAAACGAGCCGGGCTCCCAGAGCTCCACAGCCATGTGCTCTTTAGCGTCGGTCGCTACCGGTGGGTATCTCCGGTCCCTCAGCACCCGGCTCGCCCAGTCCCCCAGGCCTCCCCTCAGTGGGACGCTTCCCTCCCCCTGCGCCCTCCGGGACGCGGAGCCTGGGCGGTGAGGCCTTGCAGGGAAGGGGGGGAGGGCTGGTGAGGGCCATCGGGGAGCGCGGCGAGGGGACCGCTCACCCGCGGGAGAGCCTCGTCCCCACCCGGCTCCTCGTGCGCCCGGTTCGCACTGGCGTCCGAGGCTCATCTGATCGTTTGCGTGTGCTAGGCGGCCGGGGCGCTGCGGAGGAGGAGGAGGACCTGCCAGAACTGTCCGACAGCGGTGACGAGGCCGCCTGGGAGGATGAGGACGAGGCCGGTCTCCCCCGCGACAGGCAGCACACCCCCTGCCTGTTCTGTGACAGGTTCGTCCACCTCGGCGCCACGCTCCAGTCCTGGGGCGCCCGGGCCGCGTGGGTCTGTGTGGTCCGCTCGTGTGGAGCCGAATCAGAGGGACTTGTTGAGAAGGGAGACCCACAGCGCTTTAGAGGGAGGAGCCACCGACTGAAAGCCAGGTCGTCTTCGACGGGCTTCAGTGTCCCCTTCTGTAAAATAATAGGGTTTTGGACCGGATCTTGTGGTACCCAGATCTGGTTCTACACCTCTGTCCCCTGAGCCACTTTAAAAAAATACAGATGCCAACTGTGCAACGCAGTCCTTCTAAATCACGGTTGGGGTCTAGGAATTGTCTATGTTTATAAGGACATCGTCTCAAGTGATTCTAATAACACGTTTGGGATGACCCCTCAGTAATTCCTTAAGTGGAGAAGTTCTCAATTAGGAAAGTTCTCAGGTGTAGTACTTCATTTGAACCATTTAAAGAATCACCTTGCTTAGGTAGGGGCTCCCCACCTGGGAACGAGGAAGGCATTGATGCCTTTTCAGTAGGGTAAAAGAGACTGCAATATCAATAACTTGCTCAAGGCCACAAAACTAGTTTGTAATACCGTATTTCCCCATGTAAAACACTCACCCTTTTTCGAAAAATTTGGGGTCCTAAAACTGGGTGCGTCCTTATACTGTGGTTGTAGATTTTTTTTTTACTTGCATTTCCCTCAAGTGATGAGGAGTTGTATGATGACTAAAACTAGAGTTCAATAACTTTATGTAATACCTTTTTTTAAAATTTCGGGCCCCAAAATTAAGGTGCGTCTTATACATGGGAACATCTTATACATGGGGAGCTACGGTATATTCCAAATCCACGTCCTTTCCACTTAAAAGTCTGCCTCTTCATCTCAAGCGTTGCCTTTGGCTGCTGTCCTGGGCAAGTGGGCATGAAAAAGTCCTGGTTGGCATTGGCCAGTGTTAATTTAGTAAACATTTCCCAGATTCCTTTAAATTTGGGCAATATGCTGATTGGTGGTATATTAACTCCTCTTGATTTGTCCTTGTTCTCACGTGTACTCTCATTTGGGTTAGTATAGAATGTCTACATATACTGCTGTTGTTATAACATTTATAGAGCATCAGGGATGTACTTTGTGATAGGCTGCATAAATACTGCAAAAATAACCTATCAGTAAACATTGTTGAAAACTGCTGCATATGTGTGAAGCATATAAAAGAGGTGTGTAGCCGCCCTGCTGTGTATTCCTACTCACATGTCCTTCAGTTTTCTAGGTCACATAATAAAGAGGCTTGATCCTCACAGTGTCTATAATGCAAGTACAGTACTTTGTGAACACTACAAGATCACTTTTGAAATACAGCACTTTGGAAATATGCCAGCTGCAAAGTTACGTTTTATGCTTTATTCCTAAAAGCAGTTTGAGCTTTCGCAGTTCAGAGCCTCCAAAAGCAGAACTGATGCTTAGAGGAGGAAAGAATCTTATGTAGGGAATTTTCATGTCTTGAGAAAAATAGAATCTATCCAAGGGAGTTCTCTTAGAAACCTTTTGATAACTTCAGTGCTGTAAATTGGCAAATAAATTAACTTTAACATTTAATGGGTAGTTTGTTTTAGGTGTAAAATTGGATTCAGAAGTACTAATTTTTTTTTTTTTAGAAGTTCTGGGTTCCTAACATTTACATGCATGTTTGTTTTCTCTTAATTGGAAATAAAACTACAATAGAAACCATCAGAGGGGGGAGTGTATATTTAACATGATAACAATGTTTAGACTTTTAGGTACTTTTCCATGAAGCTATTGCTTGATTTTTCAGGTTATTTACATCTGCTGAAGAAACATTTTCACACTGTAAGTCTGAGCATCAATTTAATATTGATAACATGGTCCATAAACATGGTGAGTATTTTTTAGAATAAAGAAAATTTTAGTTGTGAAATGGAATTTCAAACTTTATATTTTCCAGACCTTTCCTTTTCTAAAAAAGTCTAATTATAGTGAAATATATAGCAACAACCTATTACGAAAATGAAGTTCTTTTGACAAGTGGCTTTTGAGGAACGATTAATTATAAGTCATTCTCCTAGATAAGATTCACTATATTTAAGCTTATATTGGCTTCACAACTAAAAAGGAAAGAGCTTGGCATGTGTTTGCATTTTTATAATATTAGAATTAGCAAGAACAAGAGAATATATTAGAAGTAGGGATAGTAAGGTAGAGGTAGACTTTGTGAGTCATTATGAAAAAAAAAAATTACCCGTTCAAAGCATAACATGAACTTCAAGACATATAGGGAGTTTGGTAAGAGAGTATGAAAGAAGATTGAGGAAATGAAGGTGGTAAGCAAAATATTTAGATGGTGATTCTTTTGAAATGTGCATTTAAACATACTTACCTTACTACTAAAGCCTTCTACTTCTTTAAATAGATATAAAAGACCTACACTATTCCACTAAAATTGACTAAATACAGAATTGGTTTTTCTGGTCCTTGTATTTGCTAACAACTGAGAAGGACATTAGATAAACTTGTGATATAATGTTTATAAATCAAATTCAAGTGCAGCTACTTTTGTAACACATGGATGACTTTGCCTCATTGGTTTTTTTCCCCGCCCGTGTTTTTAATGTGCATTTTTAAACTGAGTTAAAATAAAACTTTATAATTTTGTATTTTTTTCGCTATCAAAAAGGGGTTTTTGGATGCCATTATACATATAAAACATTTTGTATGCTGTTATATTCCTCATAACAACATTTCTTAGGGCAAATTAATAACTAGTTGGATATACTATTGCTTTCCCTTGTTTTATTTATTTATTTAGTTTTTAAAGGTTTTTTTCTTTTTAACTTTTTATGGAGGAACAGTACGCTCCTCCAGGACCCATCAGCTCCAAATCAAGTAGCGTCTTAAATCTAGTTTTGGAGAGTGCAGCTCCTTGGCCCATGTGGGAATTGAACCAGCAACCCTGGTCCCAGGAGCCTGTGCTCTAACCACCTGAGCCAACTGGACGCCCCAGCTTTCCTTTGTTTTAACTGATGCTTCATTTCTGGAAAGACATGAGAACCAGATAATAAGCTTCATTGGTTTTCAATTTGCATCATTTAACTTAATGTTAAAGTTAGTATACTTTGTATACTTAATATCCTGGCAAAATTATAATTTGGTAGGCACCATAAAGTAGGGGATGTAGAAACTTTTGGCTTTAATATCAACTTCCCAATACTTGGTAAAATCAATGACTTAATTTTCCTGATTTGTATTGTTCTTAGAAATGAGTAGAATTCTAAAAATTAATTTCCTAGTTTTTAGAAATGCAAGAAAAACGTTTTTAAAATTGTCACCTATGGCTTTTGTCAAAAGTATTCAGAAGTACAAGTTACTATTTCTAGTTCTTAATAAGAAATTTAAAATATTATAGGTTGTAGTTCAGGGGACAAATATTTTTTGTCTAACCAGAGATGCCCCTATACAGCAGACAAATTAAATAAAACATATTTTAAAATGAGTGAATTATCTTTTTATTCTCTTTTAGGACTTGAATTCTATGGATATATTAAACTAATAAATTTTATTAGACTTAAGGTAAGTTGGTAGCTTCATTTACAGTTTTGTTTAGAAAATAAAATGCCACTATCAGTGGTGACTATCAATTCACTGATTTTTAAAAGAATACAAGGAACTGCTATATAAAGAACTGTTTTGGTTTTTTAAATATTTTCAGCTGAGCCATCCTGCCACCTGTTGGCAGCTCAGCGGCAGCTCAGCTGGGACTGGGCATCGAACTGCTGTTGCTCAGAGCTTGCACTCTTGAGCAAGCTCTTAACCAACTGAGCCACTTGGCCGGCCCATAAAGAACTGTTTTTAAGTTTGGCAGATCATATTGGGGGAACTGTGGATATTAGAAACTGTCACAACACACAGCACCAAGTAAATGGATACATACCATGCTTAATCAGTGTCATTTTTAACTGCATCTAAGAAGTGAATCAATGTTATGTGAAAAAGTAATTCAGAATCAGCTAAAGGTAAACACTGATAGTATTTCTATAAAATCAAATAATTTCTAGTATGATTTCAAGTATTGTGGTGCTCTCTTTGTTTTATTTTTCAAATACTTTGTTCTTTTTTCTGTCCTACTCAAATGAGTGTTAATATTGCTATTTCCTCCAGGTCCAAACAGTGTAAAAATGTGCATTGAAACCACTGATCTAATCAAGTTAATGAAATGACAGGTGGACATAGACTTCTTAAATAGAGATTTTGTGTAATGTAGACATGATTTACTTTTTTGTTCAATTCTCCTAGTTTTTGCTAGGAATTTTGTGATTATATGCAATTAAAAACATGGAATTAATTTTACATGCAGAATCCTACAGTTGAGTATATGAATTCCATATACAATCCAGTGCCTTGGGACAAAGAAGAGTATTTGAAGCCGGTACTAGAAGATGATCTTTTACTTCAGTTTGGTAAGATGAACATATCCTTTGTGGAACATGTTTCTAGTATTATACAATACTGAAAGTAAAAAAGTAAACTCCATTTTATTCACTCAGATTTTATTAGTTTTTCCCTACTGTCCCTTTTCTGTTCCAAGATCTCATCTAGGATACCACAGTACATTTAGTTGTCATATCTTGTTAAGCCCCTCTTGGCTATGACAGTTTCTCAGGCTTTCCTTGTTTTTGATGACCTTGATAGTTTTGAGGAGTACTTGTGGACAAAAATTTAAGGCAGAACAGGATTTGCATAGTTCCAAGTATCTTCCCCCAAGAAATTTATTACCTACTGAGGAGATGTTAACTTCTCAGTGAAGTCCTGCAGACATAGCCACAACCAAGTGATTAAGATAGGCATGAGTTTGAATCTTAGTTCCTTCATTTAACAGCCATATGACTTGGGGCTAGCCACTTGATTTTTCTGACATTTATTTTTACCATGCCTTAAAATAGGAACAGATATTTACATTTCAGTTTTGTCTTTTGGATGAAGTGAGATGTAATGAATATACTTGAAAGTGATCAATAAATAATAGAGTTTTTTCGTTCTACTTTTTTGTTTGTTCCTGGGTTTAGTTTTGTATAATTAATGCACATGTATGTGTTCTATTTAGCCGTTTAATGAAAAACTTAGACTAATAGCTAGCCCTTTAAATTCAAAATGAAACAGCTTGGATATTATATATATATTTTAAAGTATTTTTACTAATTTTTTTCATTTGACTGCATAATAGTCACTTAATATACGTTTATTACTAACATATTTTTGTACTTCATTGTATTAAGATGGCTTGATAATAATGTCCATTTATTTCTTCAGATGTAGAAGATCTGTATGAACCGGTGTCAGTCCCATTCTCATACCCCAATGGACTCAGTGAAAATACCTCTGTTGTTGAAAAATTGAAACATATGGAAGCCAGGGCACTATCTGCTGAAGCTGCATTAGCTAGAATGCGTGAGGATCTGCAAAGAATGAAGTAATTTATCAATCTTATAGAAAATTAATTGTTTAGATCCCAAAATAGTACAACTAATAACTAGATGGAATATGGTAAAACATTTCATATACTGGAAAGTACAATGTAGATATTTAGTTTTAGTAATTAAAGATACAAAACATTTTTATACATTATAGATAAAATTGATTAGTATCAACATCTGTAGTTTTACCTATTCTAATATACTTCTCTATAATTACTTTTACATTAATGGTAATTGTTCTGGGGAGTGTTGTCTTCTTACGTGTTTTTGTTCTTTGATAGTGCCTGCCTTCAAATTACCCTGTTTCTAATAGATTTCTCCATTTTATTTTTCCCCTGTTGGGGTTTTAAAGTGGAGGGATTAATATTTGTTAGTTTTTGGGAAAATATGGGATTGACACTTTTGTTTTTAAAGAATCAATATAATTATGATATATTATTTAATCAGATAACCAGATACATAGGATGGTTTTCTCCAATGAATTAGCATTCTACTGGCTTAGTTCTCAGAATTTAATATGCATGTGAATCACCTGGGGATCTTGTTAAACTGTACTTCTGATTCAGGAGGCCTGGGGTAGGGCCTGAGATTCTGTATTCCTGCCAAGTATACCTCTATTTTATCTATTCGATTTGTCAGTTGGTTGCTAGTACCTGAGTACCCATAGCTTGATGGTTTGCCAGAATGTTCAGCAGGAAGGATAGTATAGCTGATTATAGTTTCCCTTCCCTGTTTCTGAGATTTTATGCTGTGTAACCTAGTAACCACTGACTCTACTGTCTGCCTCTTTGCCCTTCTCTCCCATGCATACCTATAGATTCCTAATATGTTGGGATCAGAGAGAGAACTGAGTTTTAGAGATGGAGTGGATGGTGTTGGTGTATATAAATAATTCTCATTTTGGGTCCACTTTCTGCCCATGTAACCCTTCCAGGAGATAATAAGGTTTTAAAGAATATTAATATTGTTGAAATAGATTACATTGATTTAGCTGCTAAAATAAGATTTTGAAGTATGAAAAATAATAAAGTGAAATAAAGATAATGTGCCTATTTTATTCAGTTGAAAGATACCGACAGCTGTAATTTGCAGTTGGGTGTGCTTTTGTATTTTGCAGAAGGAATGCTTACAACTGGGTTTGAGTATGCCATTGCTTAAGATCCAGCAGGGGGAGCTTTCAGTTGGTTAAGATAGAATGTGATTTAGAAGGCTCATCACCACCCCACACTCCCCATTCCTCTTTCTCAACCTCTAGCCTTTCCTTTTTTTCATGGTCCAGCAAACCTGTCTCAAGGGTGTATTTCAAATTGATTACAGACAATTTGCTCAGGATTTTGTGATGAACGCAGATGTCAGAACCTGCTCGTCATCTACTGCCATTGCAGACCTCCAGGAAGATGAGGAT